ATCGGTCCAGACCGTTGGGGGTCGACGTCCTGAAAAAATCATGACGTCGGGGGTCTGCGGCTATGGCTCGCGCAGGCGCTGGCCGAACCACCGGTCCATGTCCACCATATGTTGTTCAGACAGTGGAGCCCAGAACTCCGACGACATGATGTTTTGAATCCCAGCGCGTGTCCTCGAAGTCTGCCTCCGGTGCCCTGTTTGTTGGGCCCCAGGGCCATCAGACATCGACCCGGGATGAAGCCTCGCACCCAAGGGGGCAGGGGCTGAGACTGGTGGGGCCGCGCACTGCAAAAGCAGAGCACGTCTACAGGAGGAAGATTCGAAGATAGGCAAAACATAGTCGAGGGACTTTTTTTTTATTTATTCTGGTTTGCTCTTGTTTTGACCAGTTGTTGGTGTATGCTTTGACTATTTCCAACTTTTCCTTGGAAATCGACCTGTAGGAGGACAGGCCCGACTTCAATCCCGGTCGGGCAGCCTGCTCGTCGTCGAGGCTCGCCGTGGGCGCAGGAGGGCCCCCGTGCAGCTTCCCCCCGTGGCGCCGTGGAGGCCCCCCATGCCAAGAGACGCCCTGCCCGCCTCCGGAGTGCCCTGGCCTTCTTTCGACGAGACGTGAGAGTGGCCTCTCGCCGGAGTGGCCTTTGGTGCGAGCCAGATGGGGCCCCCCGATCGCGGTGCCCCGGCCTTCTTTCGACGAGACGTGAGAGTGACCTTTCGCCGGAGTGGCCTTTGGTGCGGGCCAGATGGGGCCCCCCGATCGCCGAGCGCGAGGCGGCAGCGGCGTCTTGCGCGCTTGTGTTTGGCCCCCTCGCGGCCCCCCCCCCAAAAGCCGCGCACCAAAGGTGACGCTCACCCAGGGTCACTCTTGCGTGTAGCCGATGGCCGCCGATGGCTGGGTTTCGATGATTTGGCCATGGAAGGCGTGACGTTCCTACACCAAAAGCTGATGGACGTCCCAGGGTCTCAGGGTTGGGCTCCCTGTGGGAGAGGCTTCTTTCGATGATTTGGCCATGGAAGGCGTGACGTTCCTACACCAAAAGCTGATGCACGTCCCGGGGTCTCGAGGGCTGGGCTCCCCTGTGGGAGAGGCTTCTCGTGGGCTGGCCTCCGCTGCAGCACCCAATGGCTGCAGCGAGAGCGCCGTGGCATCTCATTGCTTCTCGGGGGGGGGGCGCGGGGGGGCCCCGCCCTGGCCAGACCCCGGGCCCCGAGGGGCTGGGAAAAGCCCTCGCGGTTGCCCCCCCCCCGCCGCCGCGGGGGGCTCGCCTCGATTCCCCCCGGGTCGATTCGCTTCGGTCTCGATGGCCTCCGCTTCCGATTCGACGCGGCTTCGGATTCCGATCGGGGCTCCGATTTTCTCAGCGGAGGCACACGAGCCTGCCGACTTCCGCCGATGCGACTTCTCCCGACTCGGCTGCCGATTTCTGCCTGTCCGGTTCATGTCGATCGCCGATCCGACTTATCGATTCGATTCTGGGCTCTCCTGCCATCGCCCCTCCGCACGTCGACGACGTCGGAAGTTGGGCCCCGCTCACACATACACACATGCGCGGACGGACTCTTGGGGGGACGAGAGGGGGAGGCGATTGGAGAGGGCGGGGTGTCTCCAAGGTGGCTTTTTCCCGGAAGGGGCTAGGACAGGGATGAATCATCCCAGAACGCTCAGGAACGCTTTCAGAACATTCAGGAATGCTCTGAGTCGGCCGCGGCGCCCGATACATCCTCCAGAACCGCGGGGTCTCAGAGACCCTCGATCTATCCCTGTCCGATTTTGCCCCTGTCCTGGCTTCGTCTTACTCCTGAGAAGGCGGGAGAGCTTCTGAGACGGCCTCATGCTTTTCAGGAATCTGAGAGTTCGGTGTGTGTGTGTGTATGTGAGAGAGAGGACGGGAGGGGGGGGGCTGAACTAGGGCAGGCCTCGCACACGCGGTGTGACTTTTGTTTTTGAGCGGACTACGGTGAGGACGAGGTGCGCGAGGAGGAGGAGGAGGAAGAGACGCTTCTCCTCCACCTCCTCCTCTCTTTCCACTCCCTCCTCGTCCTCGCCGTCCTCCTTCCCCTCCTTCTGTTCACCTCCCTCGGATCATGTCCCTCATCCCCTGCCTCCTGCCCCTCATCATCCTTTTGTTCTTCCTCCCTCTCAGATCCTCTTCCTACTCCTTCCTCCATACCTCCTCTTCCTTCTCCTCCTGCTGCTCCTCCCCTGCCTTCGCCTCGTCCACCGCTGCGGCTCCACCCATCTCCACTTCCAGCTCTCCCGCTCCTCCCCCCCCTTTCTCGGCATAGCCGTTTTGGTCCAGGCAGCCCCGGCCAGAGCCACCATCGCGGCGGCTCCAGCTGCACAGGCCCGACGCCTCCCCCAGCCAGGCGGGGCCAGGACCAGGATCAGTCGTCCCGGAGAGTCCCGGCATGCTTTCGGAGCGCTCCGCAGCGCTCTGGAGCGGCCGGGGGCCAAGTGGCGGGCCCCGGGGGCCGAGGTCGAGGCATGACGCTGGGCTTGTTCCCCACATGTTTCGTGGGGTTCTGGTGTTCTTCCCTGCCGCGCCGCACCCGCGTCTCACACCTCCCCCCTCCCCTTCTCCTTCTCGAACCAGAGCGGGTGTGCAGGGGGGTGGTCCCTGAGCTCGGCAGGCGTGGCATTTCCTCGACGCCACAGGGGGTGCGCTGGGGGTGGGGGCCCTATGCGTTGTAGGCTCCCAGCGCGTGGCAGGCGTGGCATTTCCTCGACGCCACAGGGGGTGCGCTGGGGGTGGGGGCCCTATGCGTTGTAGGCTCCCAGGGCGTGGCAGGCGTGGCATTTCCTCGACGCCACAGGGGGTGCGCTGGGGGTGGGGGCCCTATGCGTTGTAGGCTCCCAGGGCGTGGCAGGCGTGGCATTTCCTCCACGCCACAGGGGGTGCGCTGGGGGTGGGGGCCCTATGCGTTGTAGGCTCCCAGGGCGTGGCGGGCGTGGCATTCCCTCGACGCCACAGGGGGTGCGCTGGGGGTGGGGGCCCTATGCGTTGTAGGTTCCCAGGGCGTGGCAGGCGTGGCATTCCTTCGACGCCACAAGGGGTGCGCTGGGGGTGGGAGCTCGTATCTTGTCAAGAACTGTAAACACCTTGGCTCAAGCGGGCTCGGCGCGCTTGCGCTCCCACGCAGGCGCGCTCCTGTAGTCCTACTTAGGAGCACCGCCCGACCTGCGCGGCAGCCATGCCTCCCAAAATCGGCGAGCTGCCACCTCCATGTTCGGCGATGAAGATTGCAATGGTTCAGATGGGCGGCGCAGCACAGCACATCAGGAGGAGGACACCGAGGAGGAGAAGGAGCAGCAGCAGCAGCAGAAACACCGATGGTACACATGGGAAATAAAATAGGTATGTGGGGTTCCTCGGCAGCGTAATGTTTTACAGTCTGCCGGGGGCGAACAAGGAGTCCAACCCTTCCCCAAGACGAGGCGGGTAATGAGCAGGAGCGCCCAATGCACGAGGATGCTGCGCGGGGCTTGAGGTGCCCCTGAGCGCTTCGCCAATAGCCTCGAACCATAAGTGAACGCGTGAGGGGTGTGCCCAAATGGGGCGGGGCCCTATGCCAACGTCGCCGCTAAGGCCTTCGGTGGTGGAGCTCCCTACGGAACCACGAAATGTGGGAGGGGTGCGCCGAAATGTGGCGGGTAACCATGTGGACCCTGCCACTGGGGCCTTCGGTGGAGCTCCTCACGGGGCCACGAAGCGCGGGAGAGGTGCGCCGAACTGGGGCGGTAAAGAGGCGGACCCTGCTACCAGGGCCTTCGGTGGAGCTCCCTGTGGGGCCACGAAAAGTGTGAGTGTGTATCCAAATGGTGCGGGGCCCCGTGCGAACGCAGCCGCTGGGGCCATCGGTGGAGCCTCCTTCGGGGCCACGAAATGTGGTAGGTGTGCGCCGAAGTTGCGCAGGTAACCATGCGACCCTGCCATTGGGGCGTCAAGAGGAAACCCCTGTGGGCTATGGGGCCACGAAGCGCGGGAGAGGCGCGCCGAAATGGGGCGGGTAGCCATGCGGACCCTGCCACATGGGCCTTCGCCAGAGCTCCCTATGGGGCCACGAAGGTGTGTATGGGGTGTAACCACATGGAGCGGGTAGCCATTCAGTTCCTGTCACTCGGGCCTTCGCCGGAGCTACTTATGGGGTCACGACACGTGTGAGAGGGTTCGCCGGAATGGAGCGGGTAACCATATGCGGACACTGCCACGTGGGTTTTCGCCGGAACTCCGTGGCCACGAAACATGTGATGGGGTGCGCCGAAATAATTTGGCGGGTAATAACCATGTGGGCCTTGCCACTGAGGTCTTTGGTGGGGCTCCATATGCTGCCACGAAGCGCGGGAGGGATGGGACTGGCGCGGGTGACCATGCGGACACTGCCATTGGGGCCTTAGGTGGAGTTCCTTATCGGGTGCACAACGCGTGGGAGCGGTGTGTCGAAACGGACATGCGCAAGGCAGAGCAAGGAGGAGCTGTGTGTCGAAACGGACATGCGCAAGGCAAAGCAAGCAGGAGAAGGAGGAGGAGGAGGAGGAGGAGGAGGAGGAGGGAGGAAGAGGAGGGAGGAGGAAGGAGGGAGGAGGGAGGAGGGAGGAGAGGAGGAGGAGGGGAGGGAGGAGGAGGAGGGGGAGGGAGGGGGGGAGGGAGGGGAGGGGGAGGGAGGGGAGGGAGGGGAGGGAGGGAGGGAGGGAGGGGAGGGAGGGAGGAGGAGGAGGAGGAGGAGGAGGAGGAGGAGGGAGGAGGTAGGGGTAGGAGGGAGGAGGGAGGAGGGAGGAGGGAGGAGGCGGAGGCGGAGGAGGGGGAGGCGGAGGCGGAGGCGGAGGCGGAGGCGGAGGAGGAGGAGGAGGAGGAGAAGGAGGAGGAGGAGGAGGAGGAGGAGGAGGAGGAGGAGGAGGAGGAGGAGCGCGGCGCAGCGAATCCCAAACGAGGACCCGACTCACAGGAGGGCTGGGAGAAGACCTGTCGTCGGAGATCTGGGCGGCACCGCCGACGTCCGCCATGGCCGCGCGCCGCTCGAAGCTCCTCTCGGCGGCCGTGCTCGGCGCGGTCGCCGCCGTGGCGCTGCTGGGAGCGCTTGCCTTCTGCGGCGCGGGGGCGGCGCCCGTGGCGCGCGGCAGGGTGGCCCAGGGCGCCCTGCCCATGGACGCGGTGGTCGGCGGCGCCCAGAAGGGGACCAGCTCGAAGCTTCGAGGCTCGAGGCGCGAGGCGAGGACGTTCTCGTTGATTCCCAGGGGCCTCCAGGTCTCGGGATGCATATGCCAGCGGCTGCGCCATGCCAAGGGGCAGCCCGGGCTGCTTGGATCGTCCCGAACGGTCGCCGGAGGCGCGAGTTCTGGCCCGCAAGCCTTCCCTGAGATCGTGGTGCTGCAATGGGTTCACACCAGGCGGTTTTGCTCTGTTCCTTGGCTCAGAACCACAGGTCGATCCGGTTCGAAAAATGTAGCGGAAGGATGGGGTCTGGAGTTCCAGTCGTGGTCTCTCGCGATGTTGCAATTTGTTTGCTACGGCGGAGGATGGGGATCTCAGGAAGCAGGGGGTCATCCAAGAAGGCAGGGGGCCTCTTGGAAGCCCGCCCAGCTTCCAAAAGGCCTCTTCTCGGAGTCCTCCGGGGCCTTCTGAGAAGGCCCCTGCCTTGCAAGACGCCCCCCGCCGTCTTAGAATTAAGCCGGGCATAAATAGTCAAAACGTAGTCAGGGAACGTTTTTCCCAACCATCCTGTGGTGTTGGGTTCTCGTTTTGAGGAGACAGCGCCCGCGTCCTCCTTCCTTCTCCTCCCGCTGCCTCCCCTCCCTCTCCCTCCGTGCCTCTGCCCCTTTCATGTCTCTGTTCCCGCACACCCCTCACACGGTTCGTGGTCCCATAGGGAAATCCACGGAAAGCCCCAGTGGCAAAGTTCGCATGCAGTTCCACCCCCATTTCGGCGCTGCCCACACGGTTCGTGGCCCCATAGGGAGCTCCACCGAAGGCCCCAGTGGCAAAGTTCGCATGCAGTTCCACCCCCATTTCGGCGCACCCCTCACACGGTTCGTGGCCCCATAGGAAGATCCACCGAAGGCCCCAGTGGCAAAGGTCGCATGCAGTTCCACCCCATGTCGGCGCACCCCTCACACGGTTCGTGGCCCCATGGGTAGCTCTGCTGCATGCCTCAATGGCGAAGTTCGCATGCAGTTCCACCCAATTTCGGCGCACCCCTCACACGGTTCGTGGCCCCACAGGAAGATCCACCGAAGGCCCCAGTGGCAAAGTTCGCATGCTGTTCCACCCCCGTTTCGGCGTACCCCCCACACGGTTCGTGGCCCCATAGGTAGCTCTGCTGCATGCCTCAATTTCAAGATCGCATGCAGTTCCACCCCCGTTTCGGCGCACCCCTCACACGGTTCGTGGCCCCATGGGAAGCTCCACCGAAGACCCCAGTGGCAAAGTTTGCATGCAATTCCAACCCCCGTTTCGGCGCACCCCTCACACGGTTCGTGGCCCCATAGGTAGCTCTGCTGCAGGCCTCAATGGCAAAGTTCGCATGCAGTTCCACCCCTATTTCGGCGCACCCCTCACACGGTTCGTGGCCCCGTCTGGAGCTCCACCGAGGGCCCAGTGGCAAAGATCGCATGCAGTTCAGCCCCAATTCGGAACACCCCTCACACGGTTCGTGGCCCCATAGGGAGCTCCGCCGAAGGCCCCAGTTGCAAAGTTCGCATGCAGTTCCACCCCCATTTCGGCGCACCCCTCACATGGTCGTGGCCTCGTAGGGAGTTCCACCGAGGGCCCCAGTGGAAGCGTTCGCATGCAGTTCCACCCAATTTCGGCGCCGCCCACACGGTTCGTGGCCCCATAGGGAAATCCACCGAAGGCCCCAGTGGCAAAGTTCGCATGCAGTTTCACCTCCATTTCGGCGCACCCCTCACATGGTCGTGGCCTCATAGGAAGTTCCACCGAGGGCCCGAGTGGCAAAGTTCGCATGCAGTTCCACCCCCGTTTCGGCGCGCTCCTCACACGGTTCGTGGCCCCATAGGGTGCTTCTCCGACGGTTTCAGTGGCAAAAATCGCATGCAGTTCCACCCCTATTCCGGCGCACCCCTCACACGGTTCGTGGCCCCACAGGGAGTTTCACCGAGGACAGTATTTACCATTGCGTTACTCACAACTGCATATGGTTGGGTCTTTCGCCAGGATAAGTTTTTATTGTGTTTGAATAGTTGTTCGGGTATTATTCGGGGGTATTTGTTTTTTTCGTCCAAAATACCCCTGTAGAAGGAAAGGCCCGACTCAATCTTAGAAGCGCATCCCCCGGGCTCATCCTTTGTGTGCGCCGCGAAGGTGGGCGCGGTCGCGGACGCGTCCTCGATCGTGACGTCGCTGCAGATCCAGCAGCCCGCGTGGGCGGCCAACCTGGTCAACCCCATGGGGAAGAGATGCCGATGCGACTGCTGGTCCTGGAGATCCCTCGTCGCCACGGCTGGGCTGTCCTCGGAATCCTGGCCAGAGCGCACTACGGGAGAGGCCTTGAAAAATCAACGCCATTGGTACAGCAGGCACACCATCTTACGAACCTGCCTGCCAGCGCGTGCCCCACGATAATCCCACCCGACCTCGTGGCTGAGTGATCTGACAGAGCTCCCTGCCACAACCCCATCCTTCCCCTGCTGCGGGGGAGAGGGGTCCACCCCCTGCCCCCTGCCCCCTCTCCTGGGCCTGGCTGGGAGGGGGGGGGGGGGAGCGGAGCCGTCGGACCGCCCAAGATGGCCCCAGATGGCTCCAGGAGGGCCCCCGGCAGCCCAAGATGGCCTCCAAGATGGCTCAAGGTACCCGAACATCGCTCAAGATAGCCTCCGGCATGCCTCCACGACGGCCCGAGACATCCCCAAGACGGTCCTCGGTGCCCGTCGAGCCTCCCAAGGCACCCCTCAAGAGGCCAAACAGTGTCCAAACACCTGAGGACGAGCAATGATGCTTGGCTTCTCGCCTTCTCGCTTCCGATGGGCTTATTGGCGCCCAAGAGCGCCCCAAGAGGGCCCCAAGAGCCAATAGGCCATCTTGGAGCCTCCGAGGGGGGGAGGGGAATTTCGGACCCCCCCTTCGTCGAGCCATGGGGGCCAAAATGGCCCCAAGAGAGCTCAAAGGGGCGCCCAGCGCCATCAGGCAGGGAGGCGCCCAGCATCACCAGGTGGCCCTCAAGAGGCTTCCAAGAGGACCCCACGAGAGTGCAAAGACGCTCCCAAAGACCCAAGGACCACCAAAACTCCTCCTCCTCCTCCTCCTCCTCCTCCTCCGTAGCCATTTTGGCTCAAGATGTTGAGTTCCGCAGGGGAACAAGTGGATACCGCTAGTCCGCGGCAGTGCCAGGGCTGTTCAGCCCGACACCTTCTATCAGGACCTGGGCGGGGAGCTCTGCGCTGCCGTCTTGAGTCCCGCCGCTCTTAGTACTTGAAGGTGCCCATGGGCGGCAGTCGTCATGAACGGAAGTCTCGCAAGGCGAAGGAGGAGCGACGGGCGCCGACGGCATCATCACGTTCTGCATCGTCCACTCCACGTGCTCCTTCTCCATCTGAGCGGATGCGTGATCTTCGGGATTCTCACGGTGCTCTTGACATCCGTGAACGTGATCGCATTCGGACGCGGGACCGATACCTCCCCGCCGCCAGCGACGCATCAGCGGAGGGCTCTCGGCGGTCCCGCAGTGCTGGCCGTGGCGCTTCTCCCGTCATCGTCGACAGCTCGTGTGGCACGCAGCACTTCGGCATCGCCACCCCCATCCCTGCCGATGAAGGGCATGTCCCAGCTGGAGGTGCGAAAGCCTCGCCCTCTCCGTCCCCTTGGCCGACTCCACCAGCTTCGAGACCGTGGGCGACTCCTGGCACCCCCGCTGAAGGCCGTGCGCCTGATCCATGGGCTACGGCAGCTATGTCCAATGGAACCACAACACATGATGGGGGCAGCAGTGTTGCCCAATCTACAGACTCTTTTCAGGCGGAGGCCATGCAGGCCTTCACACAGAAGGCGATGGAGACCATCCTGGCCCAGCTTCCTGCCGCGCTCAGCGCGGCCACAGTTCCGCTCATGGAAAAGTATGAGGAGCGCTTCAATCAGCAGCTTCGACGGGTTGATGGGGAGGTCCACGCACAGCGTGCGCGCTCAGATCTTCTCGACAGCACCGTGGCGGGCCTCGCTCATCGTCTATCGCATTTGGAAAAAGAGCTGGACCTCGCAAAGGCTAAGCCACGTCCTCCTGTTGTTCCGAATCCAGACTGGGACAGGGATGTGGATCTCACCATCCTCACAGTGCGGGCAGCATCGGCTGTCGCTAAGAACGCTGTCGCGGCGGCATTGGCCCCTTGGCTCTCCGAAGCGAATGTCCCTCTCGGGGACGGAGTGGAACTTCACGGAGATGATGTCGCCAAATCATTCACTCTCGCATTTCAAGGACCCATGGAAGCTACCCGTTCTTCGAGAAGGAGTCAGGCCCAGCAGCAGCTCCGTCTGCCAAATGGTTCATGGCGCGCATTCCAGGTGGACGTGGGCACTGAGTCAGTACCGATCCATATCTCCGCGGGTAAGAACAAGAAGATGGTCGCCACAGAAATTGCATGTAAGAAGCTGCAGAGGGGTCTCGCTGACCGTGGCATCCGCACTTTCCTCGACAAGGATAATGGTCAACTCATGGCCAAGTGGGAGCCCCTGGTGCGAGTGCTCCCATTACCTGCGAGCAGAACGCCGAAAGTGGAATGGAACCTCTCTGCACTGGCCGACAATTGCTTGTCCAGGGAGGAGGCCAACGAGCTGGCTCGCCAGGTCTTCGACACACGTGAAGTACGGTGGAGTGGGTAACGAGATGTTTGGCGTGGGATTTCTAGCTTTCACGACCTGGAATTCAGGGGCCTTGTTACACTACAGACCAGCGATTTTGAGCAGGAAACTCAGCTATCTGAGCAAACTGTTGGGGGCTGGAAAAGTAGTGGCGATACAGGAGATCCACGGTGGTGAATATGCTATGGAAGAAGCTCTTCAGAGGATTCACTGTACTTCGCATTCATGCTTCGTTTCTGAGTCCGAGAAGCCGCGGTCTGGAGGCGTCGCCACACTCGTTCCCAAGGACCCACGCGTTCGAGCCAAGGGTAAGAGCTTTGTCGCTGGTCGGGTTCTTCTGGTCACTATCCATAATTCAGTGGTCGACTTCACCATCTACCACTGGAACGTGCACAATTTTGCCATCGATGCCGCTGGTCTGAAGGGGATCCAAGCATGTATAAAATCTCAGCTTCGGCGAGTGCGCGATGAGCCGACGAAGTACACGGTGATCCTCACGGGCGACTTCAACATTCCTGCGAAGCCCATCGAGCACCATCGGGGAGAGGATCACACCAGTACTCCATGTTCGTCAGGCCGTGGGGGGCAGGATTCAGCCCTGCAAAGTCACCACCCCACGGCCACATGCACTCCGAGTTCGGCTGCATCGAGGACAACAACGGCCACTTGTACACCACCTTCTGGGCCATGTTCTCCGAGTCCGTCCTCTACTTCAGCTTCGTCTCCTGCATCCTCCCAACCACCTGCAGCCTCCCCCAGTACCGCGCCGACGAGGGCTTCACAGGGGAGGGAGGCCACACCTGCTTCGTCGCAGGCTGATGGTGCCCAGCGGGGAGACCCCGCCCTGCGGGTTGGCTCTACTCGTGCATCCCGTCCTGGCGACTCGAGCTGGCTCAAGATCTTCAGGGAGATGACGGAGCTCGCCTCGGAGGCGCCGACCCACTGGCACGCCTCGACTGCATGCGAGTCCAAAATCGATCGTCTCTTTGTCGCCTCACCGCCATGGCTCTTGTGTCAAACTGCTCAGCTTGTATCAGTCCGTGATGAACCCCATGAGTTGGCCCATCGGGGTATTTCTGACCACTCGCCCCTGGAGGTCGTCTGGCGCCCGCGGGATCACGCCAGAATGAAACGACAGAGGCCCCTCCCGCGTTGGGTGTACAAAGACAAAATTTACGCCCAGCTAGTCTCCCACATGGAATCCCAGGTGGGCATTGAGGATCTCGCTTTCGACCCGCCGCGCATGCTTGCTGCTGCTACCGCTGTCCGGCAAGCTGCTGGACTTCTTGCACGCAATGCCATCTGCCGTGCCGCGCCATCATCGCTGACCTCTCGGGCTATGGTTTCTCGTTCTGTTGCGCGATGTGTCTGGCGTAACGATGCCCGTCTTGCCCGTGTCCTCCTATTCCAGCACCCCTGGACGCAGAGTCTCATACGTGTGGATGGCGAGATCGTATCTTTCATTGATCCTGGTGGCTTCCATGATCTCCATAGCTTGCGGCAGCAGCAAGAAGCAGAATCCAGAAAGAAAGCTCTCGAGTCAGAGATCAACCAGTCGTCGTCGAGCACGGTCAGGTTTCGTCTAGCTGGGCGTCGTCGTGCTATCATTAGGTCTGCTCAGTTATGGAATCCGTTGTGTCGGCGTAAGTACTTAGCATCGGTCAAGTCGAATGAGATGGTCTCGGTGTCGGAGATGCTGGCGGGCGGCCCACTGACGTCGGAACAGGCACCTACCTCCCAAGCCCCGATGGTGGACGCTTTGGCCTCATATTGGGGCCCCGTGTTCTCTAAGACCCACTCCGTCCCCGCCGTCGCCAAGAGATGCATAGACCGATTCAGCAGCTCAGAGGACTTCTCAGAGGTTCGCCCACCCATCCTTCGAGATGTGGAACGTGCGCTGAAACAGTCGAACTGGTCCGCTCCTGGCCCCGATGGGCTTCACTATGCGGCCTGGAGGTGCGGGTCGGGGTCGAGGGTCCTTCTCGAAGTTCTTCGCTGGATTGCTCTTGGGAACTACATGCCCTCCAATTTCACTGCGTTGCTGGCCGTCTTCCTCCCTAAGGACCCCAAGGACCCCTCCCATGATCCTGACGATGGTGGCGTTGTTCGGGCCCCTGGTGATACCCGCCCGCTCGGGCTCAAGAACTCCTCGAATAAAGTGGTGTGCAGCGTGCTGAACCAGACTATGAGCTGGGTGACGCAGAGGATCGGGGCTCCATCCCAAAGGGGCTTTATTCGAAGGCGAAATTTTCTGGATAATATGGTCGATTTGGACCTCTACGCTCGGTCAGCCAGTATTATGTCTACTGCGTCCTCCCAGGCACCGTCGTTGATCGTGTTTGACTTTGCCCAGGCCTTCCCGTCGGTACCCCAGGAGTGGCTATTCCAATGTCTCGCCCGACTCCGTATTCCTGCCCCTCTGGTCCGCGCTCTTCGCTCTCTCTACCACTGCACTCCATGCTACTTCGTCGGCGACTCTCCGACGTACCTATACCACATGAACTCAGGGGTGCTACAGGGCTGTCCGCTGAGTGGTTCGCTCTATGTGATCGCGAGCAACCCGTTCCTTTTGGACTTAGAACACTGTCTAGGTGCACGTGGGCGTCTCTTGGGGGTGGTTCGTGCATGTGCGGATGATCTAGGGGCAGTCCTCTTCCACAACAGAGCGTATCCACGTCTGGCTCGAGTATTCCGACATGCTTCGAGGTTTGCTCAGCTACGACTTAAGCCTGCCAAATGCAATGTGATTCCTCTTCGTGACCCGTCTATGCCTGAGCACGGAACCCTACTTCGACACCAACTTGTGGGCGCCGACCCTGCCTGGGCAGACTTTGCGATTGTCTCAGCGTGTACGTATCTTGGATTTCAGATTGGGCCTGGGGCCACTGATGATAGTCAATGGTCAACTCCTGTCCTCAAGCATGCCACTCGTGCTACGGCAATTTCTTCGCAGGGTGCAGCTCTCTCCACGGCTGCCGCTCTTTATCGTCAGAGAGCCGCTCCAACGCTGTCGTACGTGGCCCAGCTGGTTCCCCTTCCGTGGAGGGTAGGGCAACAGCAGCGCTTTCTGCTGGCTCGCATCATGCGCACACCCGCTAGTATGCTACGGACTGGTGACTGCTTCGCGCTAAGCACAGTGAATGGCCCGAAGTTCAGCTCTGTCTTCTGCGTTGCTGCTGCTGCACGGCTTCGAGCAGCTCTGATCACATGTTCGACATGGCGCGAGCAGCTTCAGCGACATCGGGATCTCCTCTGGGAATATGGCACGTTCTCCCAGGCTACCAGTGACGTCTTGGCCCCGAGCTTTTGGAGGGCACCACCGTTTGCTTGCCGCCTGGAGGAGGCAGCGAGGGGCTTCCCATCGTCCCAAGTGCTGAAAGAGGGAGGGCGAATGGCATTGAGTCTTTGGGAAGGCGGCGACTCGTCCGTCCCCGCAGAGGTGATCGAGTTCTTCCAAGCTGAACCCAATCCTTGCCCGCTTCCATGGAGCCTCGCCCGTCGCGTTCCAGAGCCAGTTGAGGAACAAGGGCTTCTACGTTCCCGAGCACCCAAGTGGCAGGCGGCCTTCACCGACATCTTCCAGCGTGCAGTCTTCCCCGACAGACTTCTGGAGCTGCTCTCCGCCCGCGTGCAGAAGCACTTTGGTATTCAGGATGTGTGCTGGCCATCTGTCCTCAGCCAATTGCAGCTAATGCCCGCATCTTGGGCCTTCATATGCGTGAGGTCGTACCTAGGGGGCTGGATCACTCACCGACGTATGCAACGTGAGGCATGGTGTATCTATGGTTGTGGCGGCCCAGACACCATGCGACATTATCTGACGGAGTGCCATCGGTGCCTGCACTTCGGCGCCCTCACTCTTCGAGAAGATCTCCCAGGTGAGATTCGGCATCGACTTGGACTGGGGGGGCCGACTCCTGCTGCTCTCATCGCCTGCTACCACCACTATCGGCTGATGGCGGCACGGCACAGCTCCCCGCCTACGTACAGGAGGGCGCTGGAGCTCGTCCCTGCTGCGCAGATCGCGGTGCGGCTCCCTCTTCGTGGTCGACAGCAGTTGGCACTTCTTCGTCGTCCCACTCTTCGTGAGTCCATCGAGGCGGCCCGCGGTGACCTCGAGGAGAACGGCCCATCGTGTGAGGCTCGGGGCTCTGAAGCAATAGGTCTCCCATGGCTGGTGTCGCCTCACCCACCTCTCTCTCCGATCCCTCATGGTCCCCCCTCTTGGCTCGGACTCAGTCGAGAGGATGAGCTCGTCGAATTTCGCTTCATTGATTATGAAATGCCCCGAGACCCGAGTAGGGTCAGGGTAATCTCTGCCGAAGAGCAGGCACTGTATGCAGGCGGGCCTCAAACTCAGGCGCCGTCTGAATCGAGTCCTCCCCCCCCTCGTTCCCCTCGCTCCGATGATCCTGCGCCCTCCCCTCTCGACCTCATCCCATTTCACTTTGTTGACTATGATATGCCACGTAATTGTGCAGGGATTAGAGTGCTCACAGCTGCTGAGCAAGCCTCATTTGCAGGCCCGTCCCAGGCAGGTTCTGTCTCCTCCTGTGCCACCGGTGAGCGACGCCCTCATCGAGAAGGCACCTGCGGCTTGCTCTCTCAAGGAGGGCAGCGTGGGAGGCAGGGCAGATGAGTAGGAAGGTGACGGATCTCCCCATGTACGCTCCGCCTCCTCCTCCTCCTCCTCCTCTTCCTCCTCATCATCCTCATCATCCCCCTCCTCTCTCATTCGAGGCAATCTGCCTGATGTTTTTGTTCTAAACTCGTTCGGACAACAAAGGCCGCATACAACCTGCTCCTCCCCCTCACCCTCCTCCTCCTCCTCCTCCTCCTCCTCCTCCTCCTCCTCCTCATCCCTCCTCCCTCCTTCCTCCTTCCTCCTTCCTCATCCTCCTCCTCCCTCCTCCTCCTCCTCGTCCTCCTCCTCCTCGTCCTCCTCCTCCTCCTCCTCCTCTTCTTCCTCTTTCATCCGGGGCAATATGGTATGAGGTCGTTCTACTGCCGTTCGGGAAAGCATCGGCAGCATGGTGGTGCAGGAGCCCATTCCCGATGACATAGCCCTGGCAGGTCAAGACTTGTCCAAGGGGACCCCCGGAGGACCCGCGTAGAGCCCGGGCGATCGTCCTTGGATGGGCCGGTGGGGATGCGCGAAGCGCACAGACGTTCCCATCGCACGACAAGCCCGCCGAGCCCCGGGGCACCCCGCGAGGATCGGAGTCGACGAAGGACGTGCCCGTAGATTTCTCGACGAAGGATTTCTTATTGTTCGGGGGTGGACAGAACCCCCAACAGTGACACGTCGATTAGTGAATTGTCCGTTTTCGGTTCTCGAGATGGCGCCGTGGCCGTTATTTTCCAGGCTTGCGCCCGCCAGGTTTGGGCCTCAGGTCGTTTTCACTAAACCACGTTTTACTAAAGGGGAGTCGGTCCATCCCCGAATTGTATGTGTCTGCCGTACATGTTTGCTTCTCCAGGTGCTCGTGATCGTCCCGATTTCTATTCTCATCATCATCTACCTCCAGTCGGAGAAGACGCTTCAGGAGCGGGACGCGGTGATCGGCAAGCAGAGGTTGTGAGGGGCCTTTGGATCGGCGCGCGGCCGCCATGCCGCGCAGGGCGTGCCGATGATGCAGTTGCGCTGCCGCGCAAATTCCGCCACCGCGCCCGAGCGGGTGCACTGTTGGGCTAAGCTTCAGATTTGCTTACTGCTGTCGTGGTTTATCACAATGCGGTAATATGTTGCCACCTTTTCCAAAACCTTGACAGCATCGGCGCCCCCACCCCAGTAATCTCTACCATGTACTGCCAGCCTGTCTGACACGTCCGGAGTTTTCTTTGATGAGTTGCGCAAGCGAGGCTGAGTACATATCAGGTCATTCGGTCTTAGCAGGCGATGTGTTCGGGCTAGTGTATGTCGCCAACACGTTACCACATTGTTTCAGACATGACAACCGTAAGCAACCTAGAGCTCGTCCGTGTAGGGACAGGGGGTGTGGGTCCGACAGTTGTTTGTGTGTTTGTATTTCTCTGGTGCTCGCCAGTTTTCGGGAGTCCTCGTCGGTTCATGGAGGTGTTCTCGCCGACGGATTCCTTCCAGCGGTTGCCTTTCGCCAGGAGCCTCCGAAAGCGTTCCAGGGATCGCGCGCTTGGTCTCGAATTGCCGCCAGAGCGTCATCGGGCACTGGGGCCGAGAAAGTGTGGATCGAGGACGAAAAGCTATCCCCGGAGGGCAGAGATCGAGGTCTCCTGGGGCTGAGGCTTCAACGAATGATCTCCCCGGATGTCTGGGGCTCGGGGGAGGGGGGGGGGTCCACGGAAGCTTCTCTACGATGTCCTGTTTGTGCTGTGGACGGCGATCAATGCAGAATAATTGCCAGATGTCTAACACATGTTTTAACCATGTCTTCAACATGTAAAAACATGGTTTGAGTATCTTTTTGGACAGTTCTCCATACATTCGAACACATGTTCAATCCAATGATGGGATTGTTAGAGTGTCATGGCATCCACAATTTTTGTGCTCCTGCATGGGCTCTCAGCGCGTGGTTCTGTCTCAAGGGTGCCTGCGGGGCGGACCGAAGGCTTGCTCCGCAAGGGGTGGCGAGACCACCGAAGAGCAAGGACACTCCTCCTCGCTGGAGGAGGAGGAGGAGGAGGAGGAGGAGGAGGAGGAGGACCACGACCTCGACGATCACGACCGCTAATTTGAGGGAGTTTCTGTGGAACTCACGTCATCCTCACCCCCGGCGCGAAGAGCACGAGCCCAGAGCGGCCTCCGGCACCGTTTCCGGACGGATCCGCTGGATCCGCTGGATCCGCTGGATCCGGTGACGAATCCCAAACCGGCGCCCTCGCCTGAGACATCCTCACAAAACGGGCCCCGGGGGGGATGCCCAGAGGAGCCCAGAGCGGCCTCCGGCACCGTTTCCGGACGGATCCGCTGGATCCGCTGGATCCGCTGGATCCGGTGACGAATCCCAAACCGGCGCCCTCGCCTGAGACATCCTCACAAAACGGGCCCCGGGGGGGATGCCCAGAGGAGCCCAGAGCGGCCTCCGGCACCGTTTCCGGACGGATCCGCTGGATCCGCTGATCCGCTGGATCCGGTGACGAATCCCAAACCGGCGCCCTCGCCTGAGACATCCTCACAAAACGGGCCCCGGGGGGGATGCCCAGAGGAGCCCAGAGCGGCCTCCGGCGGACGGATCCGCTGGATCCGCTGGATCCGGTGACGAATCCCAAACCGGCGCCCTCGCCTGAGACATCCTCACAAAACGGGCCCCGGGGGGGATGCCCAGAGGAGCCCAGAGCGGCCTCCGGCACCGTTTCCGGACGGATCCGCTGGATCCGCTGGATCCGGTGACGAATCCCAAACCGGCGCCCTCGCCTGAGACATCCTCACAAAACGGGCCCCGGGGGGGATGCCCAGAGGAGCCCAGAGCGGCCTCCGGCACCGTTTCCGGACGGATCCGCTGGATCCGCTGGATCCGCTGGATCCGGTGACGAATCCCAAACCGGCGCCCTCGCCTGAGACATCCTCACAAAACGGGCCCCGGGGGGGATGCCCAGAGGAGCCCAGAGCGGCCTCCGGCACCGTTTCCGGACGGATCCGCTGGATCCGCTGGATCCGGTGACGAATCCCAAACCGGCGCCCTCGCCTGAGACATCCTCACAAAACGGGCCCCGGGGGGGATGCCCAGAGGAGCCCAGAGCGGCCTCCGGCACCGTTTCCGGACGGATCCGCTGGATCCGCTGGATCCGCTGGATCCGGTGACGAATCCCAAACCGGCGCCCTCGCCTGAGACATCCTCACAAAACGGGCCCCGGGGGGGATGCCCAGAGGAGCCCAGAGCGGCCTCCGGCACCGTTTCCGGACGGATCCGCTGGATCCGCTGGATCCGGTGACGAATCCCAAACCGGCGCCCTCGCCTGAGACATCCTCACAAAACGGGCCCCGGGGGGGATGCCCAGAGGAGCCCAGAGCGGCCTCCGGCACCGTTTCCGGACGGATCCGCTGGATCCGCTGGATCCGGTGACGAATCCCAAACCGGCGCCCTCGCCTGAGACATCCTCACAAAACGGGCCCCGGGGGGGATGCCCAGAGGAGCCCAGAGCGGCCTCCGGCACCGTTTCCGGACGGATCCGCTGGATCCGCTGGATCCGGTGACGAATCCCAAACCGGCGCCCTCGCCTGAGACATCCTCACAAAACGGGCCCCGGGGGGGATGCCCAGAGGAGCCCAGAGCGGCCTCCGGCACCGTTTCCGGACGGATCCGCTGGATCCGCTGGATCCGGTGACGAATCCCAAACCGGCGCCCTCGCCTGAGACATCCTCACAAAACGGGCCCCGGGGGGGATGCCCAGAGGAGCCCAGAGCGGCCTCCGGCACCGTTTCCGGACGGATCCGCTGGATCCGCTGGATCCGGTGACGAATCCCAAACCGGCGCCCTCGCCTGAGACATCCTCACAAAACGGGCCCCGGGGGGGATGCCCAGAGGAGCCCAGAGCGGCCTCCGGCACCGTTTCCGGACGGACGACCTGACTGCATAACACGCCTGGATATGCCGACGGAGGGCAGGAGGAGGAGGAGGAGGAGGAGGAGGAGGAGGAGGAGGAGGAGGAGGGGGAGGGGGCAGGCGAGGGAGCCCCGGCCCTGGGGGAGGGGCCCTGAGGGAGCCCTGATGGGCTTCCGGCACCATGGAGAGGTCCTGTGGGGCGGCCGCCCCTTCTTCTCTCGGTCGTTTCCCTCTCGCCCAGAAGCGCGCGCCCCTTCTTCTATATATACAGAAACTCCCGATCAACCGCAGAGCGGCGGATGTTAACCATGACGACCGCCACGACCCCGACGACCCCGACGAAGACCACGACCACGACGGCTGCGTCTGCGAAGCCTCACGGGGCCCGACCTCACACCAACCGCCGGGGCTCGGCGTGGCGGCCGCGGCCTGGTGCGGCGGGAGCGGCCGGCGCGCCCGAGGTTTTTACGCGAGGCGGGCCCTGAGAGGACCCGCCGGCAGCAGAAGCTCAGAGGAGGAGTTATGAAAAGATCACGGCGGGAGGGTGTTCGTTATTTTCGGCCTCTGGGGGCCCTTACCGGCCCTCGGGGCCGTCAAATAGCGACTCAGGATGAGAAGCCGGTCATGGGGAAAGGGTCGGCCCCTTTGAGGGTCAACGTCATGAAAAATCATGATGCCGGGGGTCTGGGTACCGCGACCTTTCGGCAGTTTTCCTTTTGGGGCCTCCTGGGAGGCCCTCGTCGCCACCGCTGGATTCGCCTAGACATGCTGGTCCAAACGCACTCCAGGAGAGAGCCTGGGGCAGCGGTATGGGTACCTCCTGGCTTCCCCAGAACCAAACAAGTAGTTCATGGGGATTGGAGTCGGCTGGGGGTCTGAGGTGGCCCAGCGCTGGCTCTGGCCAGCAGGGAGGGGTGCGGGGTTCGAGGTTCTGGGTAGGAGAGGATGTTTTACCTCCGTCGGCCTCCTAGGGGCCGTTTTCGCAGGGCAGAAACTGCAGCAGTTGGAGCCCCAGACGGAGTTGGGAGACCCGATGTGTATCGGATCTGCCGCTCTCCCCCCCTTCGTGGCGGATTTTCTCGGGGTCCATGCAGTGCAGGCCCCCTGGCCGCCTCCAGCAGGGCGAGGCTCACAGATCGCCCGAGGCAGCGACGGTGGAGGAGGGAGGGTCGAGGACCGAGAAGCGTCTGGACGATTGTGCGTGTCTTCGGAGGGTCCTGGGTTGCTCTGGGGTCCAGGGTTCAGGCGGGCCTGCCCCTCTACAGGAGGAATGTCCCTCTACAGGAGGAATGTCCCTCTACAGGACTACTTTTTTTGTTTATTTTCTTGGGTGTTTGCTGGGTATGTTTATTTTGCGTCCCAAATCCCCCTGTAGGAAGACATGCCCAGCTGAAGTCCTGGAGGGCTTCTTTCTTGGAGCCCTCTCCGCCTCCGTTGCACGTAATGTGTTTCATCGAGTGGATCTCGACCCATGCCCCATGGCCAGCTCTGGTCGTTTCTGACAGCCTGGGGGCCGAGACGCTTTCTCCCGAGGCCGAGAACGACAAACAACATGCCCTCACGACTTTTCCCTTCGCCTAAATCTGCAAGGGGGACCCAGGGAGGTCCTGCTCCCCGGAGGAGCTGGCAACCCCCGGTGGTGGTGACCCTTCTTCCCAAATATCTTGTGGTTCCCGGTCCTCGTCTTGAATCAGCAGCGCCCCGCGTCTCCTCACCTGACCTCCACTCCCTCCTCCCTCATCCCCTTCCCTGCCTTTGCCCGCCACCCATGTCGGCACACCCCTCACAAGTTCCGTGGCCCCACAGGGAACTCCAGCAAAGGAAGCCAGCGGCTGCGTCCGCATGTGTCCCCACTTCCAATGTCGGCACACCCCTCACACGTGTCGTGGCCCCACAGGCAGGCATCCCTCCTGCGTCCCACCTGCCTATAGTCACGGGCCCGTCGCCATGTTAGTTCAAGACGTCGGTTGTTTGGGTTCATGATGGCCTCCCCTGATGGGATGAAACAACTGGAATGTTTACTTCAGCAACGGCGCCGGTATATCCGTGGTCGAAAGCAT